AGGAAAAAGAAGTTCTTATCTGAATACATCTGCCAGGTCAGTACTGAATATGATCAAAGTAACTACTGTTACACTTAAAATTTTTGTCTGATTTACGCATTAATCAGTAGTAAATGTTCTTTTATGACCAATGACACAAAACAGATTCTGGTTCCCTACCCTGCTGTCCCCGAGATTGGCAATATACAAGTTGTTATCTGCAACCAAAACACAAATAGCAGTAGTCCCATCCTTCCATGCTGGCTTCCTGTATACAGGAGAGAACAGATAGGAAAAGTAACAGTCAATGTCATTCCCTGTATGGTGATCTTATGAACTCACACAAACTGATATATGATAGTATTGATGGCCACATGTTTGAAAAGCTTCTTTCAATTTCACTCGATCAAAAATAAAAAAAAAACAATAGCTTGTGATCCAATAAATCCATGCAAACTGCCATGCAAATGGCTTTTATGGATGAATTAGCAGTTTAGATTGATTTCATGGTGTAAACTGATTATTGGTGGATCCAACAGGCAAATAAAGAATTTAGAAATACTTAATTAAAAAGTGTGATTAAATGCAGGGAAAAAAAACCAAACAGTGGGAATCTCATTCAAGGTACAGTAATTGGCTGATCTGCTTTTGTTCTACCCAGTTGCTGCGAAAATCTAGTGAAATATAAATCAAAGGGTATTGATCCATTTTTTTTGAATCTACCAGAAGGGGACTGAACAATCAGATTGTTGTTTGTGTGGTGTGCATAGGTGGGACCACAGAGAGACGAATCACTCAGTGAGGGAAACAAAATATTTCCCATAACGTCTTCCAGGACAGCATCACGAGATGGAATCTCCTCCCCCACACACAGGAAACAGGTCACTTAATTTGCTTAAAAGACCCTCCTCTCCTCCACTCCCTCAGTCTTTTGTGTTTCCTCAGTCAAGCTGGGGAGCGCGTCACAGAACGCTGAGAGGGGCTTCCATGTGGTGATGCTGCCCGGGAAGTCTTCTTTTGTTAATGGCTGCCTATGTGAGGCAGATAGTGTAGGTTTACCCAGGGCCGGCCTTAGGCCTTTAGGCGCCCTGTGCGAGAAAGCTTTACAGCTCTGCCAGGAGATGAGGCTGGCTTCCTTTCCCCCTTCAGTGCGGGCCGAGACCGGGAGGACGAACCCCCCTTGGCTAGGTCGGGGGAATCGGTGGACCGCCGTTCAGAGGGGTCTGTCCGGTTCTCAGGGCCTCGGGAGAGTGTTCCACGGCCAGACCGGGTGGTCGCGTACGTCACTTCCGGCGCGGGTGACGTCATTTCCGGGCCCGGGCTTGTGCGTTCCAAGCCTCGTTTTCGGCGCAGGAGGAAGGGGAGGGCTCGGGCGGTGCTTAATACAGCGTGGATCTCAGTAGTGACTGAGAAAAAACGCTGGCAGGCTTCTTTTCAAAGGCTCTGCTGACATGGATCCTGGGTTACCCCTGCAGCTTGCAGTGACTGCGGATACCGGTCTTCCAAGCACCAGCACGGCTCAGGTATGGAAGATGTGTACTGTCTTACCTCCCTGTTACCTCCTGATATTTATTTTCCTCCATCTGGGGTCCCTTGGTGTTGGATGCTTTGGTGTTGAGGGGCACTCTAACCCTTTTTTTGAGTGAAGGACAGTGGGTAAAATGGGTTCTTGGTTTCTTTCAGGCTAAAGAAAAAATGTGCAGTTTGTGCGGTGAAGTTGAACTCCGGTTATGTTAAAGCCCTATGTCAGAAGTGCATTGAGGGTCTTCTTAGGGAAGAGTCTGCTGCAGCCAGTAGCAACCTGTTGGTTTCTGTTAAGGAGGAGTTATCTGCTACATTTAATTCCTTCCGGTCTATTTTAGAGGGGTTCCGGGCTCCAGTTCCCACAGTTGCTTCTACCCCTGTGCCTTTTTCTGCCTCTGTCCTTTCTACTCAGGGGGGGCCGACGGGATACTTACGGCTATCTGAGCAGGAGGATCTTAGCGAGCCCGGTCCTTCTCAGGGTGGTTCGTCATCAGAAGAAGGGAGTGTCAAAGACGATGTACCTAGCTCTTCCAGGTATAAATTATCCTTGGAGGATGTGGATGAATTACTGACTGCAATTTAT